ACTGGACTGTTCATTAGAACTACTATGGTGTTTTTATTCTGAAGTGTGGATACTTTTCTTCTTTCTAATTTTGTGTCTAAAGTGGGGAAAGAATCACTAGAGGAGTCTGCACCCAAAGCTGGAGTTGTGCTGGCAAGTGTATCTGTAGTGCCGGCAAGTGTATCTGTAGCAGAGCACTGCATTTTCTTCAAAGAGCCAATCACGTCATTTCTGAAAAGAAGCAGTCTGATAGGAGGAGAAAGCAGAATGAGGGAGAGATGAGTTAATCACTATGCTCCATCTCCTTTCACTATCCAGTCACTGGCTGGGGCGGATCCAAGATTACCTGGATCTGGGCTCAGAGGCAGTAAATGGAATGATGCTGAGGACATCTAGTGACAGAAGAAAGTTCTGCAGGGGGAATCTCTGGAATGAAGCTGAATAGTTCAGAAAAAGTTGATTTTGTTATTTCATCTTTAAAGGGGTATTCATTTTTATTTTGTTGTGATCGGCTACAGTTCTGCTTTAAAGAGCCTGAAAAGGACTACTCATCCGCGCTGTATTGCTTGTGTGCTGGAGTATGTAAAGAACTAACTTGTGAACTGTTGTTGGGTGTTATTCTAGAAAATGATATCAGTTTTTGTAAACTGTTAAATAAATGACTGAATATACTTGCATAGAATGTCAAGTTTTTTAATTGGCCCATTACTTTGTGTTGCAGTCTGGATAAGATCACTGCATGGAGCCAATGTAATTTGGCAAGTAGCACGCTTTGTAGTTTATTTTGCTTTCGCCTTTTAAAAGAAAAACATTCATAGTAGCAGAAAATGTGTTTACTTCCATAATACTAAAATATTAGATAATATTCAACTTTTTAAGTAAAATATTACCCTTGAGACATGGGCACCAATACAGCATTAGTAATCCATGTAGGTGGTTTTGAATACTGCTATGCAGTGATCTGCATATGGTTGCAGTTTATTTTGGAGATAATTAAGGAGAAAATGAATGTGTATACATTACAGGAACTAAGACTGCTATTAAAACAATTATGCTATATTGCTAGTTATTATTTATAAAGATACAGGTCTCAGTATTTGGATTACCGTTAAAGCTAAAAAAAATGTTTTATACCCTTGAAGTGGGGTCCGTCCACACTGCAAATGTTGGCTGCTTGTTAAGTCTATGGGTAGTGCATTAAGCTGTAAACTTACCCTCTTCCTCACTCCAGCAGGCTTCCACCATGCTGTCCGACCAGTCCCCTAAAGCCTCTTCTCTTTGGCGCTCTGGTTGGCAGTCATATTCTGACATCTTCACATAGAAAGCAGGACTAACAGTCCTGCATTGTACGGGAGGGTAGCGAGGGGCCCACCCACATCCTGGGGTGTCGGAGAAAAAAGGAGAACAAGGAATATGGTATTACAGCTTATTCCTCTACCTCTAGACTTAACCCTTGCAGTGTGTGTGGGTTGGGAGGGTGCACGTCAAGTTAAAAGTTAAATCCTGGCATTCGGTTTTCAAGGTGCAGATCATGCAGATCATATGCAGATCAAACCTTGGATCAAACCGAGGGATAGGCGGAGCCCAGCCTACCCCTAATAAAAGCTGAAACAGGTAGTGTACAAAAGCTGCTAACAGGCCTTGTTTAGGCAGACAGCTGAGTAGTGGTGAAATCAGGTGGCTTATCTGCGGTCTTACCTCTCCCCAGCTACCTACTACATTTCAGCCGGACATGCTGTATACATTGCCATGGCCACAATGCTTTGCTTGCAGTTCCACCTGCCATGTGCCACCATATAGGTGAATAGGACTACGGTGCAGTAGTTCAGTGAACATTTCCCCTTTTCATTATCGTTAGTTGAACGTCGGGCAGCTGCTGCTTTGTCGCCCTGTGGTGAAAAGCGATCCACCGTAGAGCACATTTCAGAGGTGCTAGAGCCTGCCACCTGTCTAAATAAGGCCATAGAGTTTCCTGCCACTCGTGAACGGCATGTAATACTTGAGGCTATTTCTTCAGGTGCATGAGTATTTCTGAAATGTAGCCTTACATTACAATATCATAGATTTGGTTTAAGCCACCATTCCCACTTGAGCGTTTTGTTGCATGACAACCCTCAACATGAAGGGTCACACCTAAGCATTGCCTGTAGTTGTACAATTATGTGCTTTTTTTCAGGCAGAATTGTAAATTTTTGGCCCCATAGACCTCAATGCAACACCTTAAGTATGTCTAAAAAAACATGTGTCTCCTCCTAGTAACTAGCGAAGACAAAAACGCTCAAGCTTGAAATAAGGGTAAAAAAAATTGTGCAAAGAAACATTTGAAGCCACCTAAAACTGCTCATGATCAAGTGTAAATACAGCGAGGGAATGTAAACAGTGATGATATACAAAGCACAGTACCCTATGCAACCAGCTAATCTTATTAGTGAAAGATTAATCTCAGTTGGTTACTAGATTTTATTATACACTGTCCTGTGTGTCCCTAAATAATTCCATTGTCTAAAAGCGTATCTAAACCCAAAAACATAAATGTGATATATTATTATTATTATTATTATACAGGATTTATATAGTGCGAACAGTTTGCGCAGCGCTTTACATTATAAGAAAGACATTACAATCACAATACAATTCAAGACAAGATGGTAAGGAGGGCCCTGTCCGTGAGGGCTTACAATCTAAAAGGGAGGGGGAATATTGCAACATAGCAGCATTTACAGGGCTAAAACGATCATGTAAAAATATTACACCTCCTTTGGTATACTTTTTTTTTGCAGAAATAGTTGTTACAGCTTTAGCTCTTTATAACAATGAAATACCTGTATAACATTTAATTTAATTAGTGTATCTCTACAATCTGATTTTCTTTCAAAAGATATTTCAGCTTATGGTTTCAAAGTCAAAAAACATGTTTTATCATTTGTGCTAAGGGACAGAAATCATGCAAGGAATCTCTTTAGTTGTCTGCAGAATTAGTGATTTGGAAAGGCCACCCTTTTATTTAAAATTGGTATATTTCAGTGTTCAACTGCTATCAGTGTGTGCACAGGATGAACTTGTATAAGTTGTATGAGTTCCAGATCAATCAGATAGCAGAGGAATGAAGCAGAAAAGAGAGTATCACATCTACCATGCTTTGTTTCATTGGCTCTGGAGCTCTCTGGGGAATTGCTTTGATCTGTGATTAAGATATCTTTTGTGTTTAGCCTGGAAGACATAGTAGACCTGCCTCTAACATTAGATTATACTCTGTTTGGTGACATCTGCCAATAGCAGGCCTCACTATTATCGAAACAGATCTTCTACATTCTGTACTGAGGAGCTCTCTGTCCTCTTGCTGCATGTTATGTAATTACACTTGAGTTTGTGAATCTTTCTTCAATTGTGGTAAAATCCCACACAAAGACGTACTGTCATAGTCACATATTTGTTCTTAGAGCATTTATCTCATAAAAACAACTGTAAAAGTTTGACCAAGTTGCTTCTGAAAATATATTTTTTAGCATAACCTTTCAACAAGTTGTGAAAACATGCAAGGTTCAGTGTTAAACGTTTCTCAAATCCTCTTGCTCTCTCTCTTCCACTCCCTCCACATATCTATATAACTGCTTAAAGTGCAGCTGGAGCCAAAATGTTTTCTGTAGTTTGGGCTAGAGTGGAGAAGGATTAGACTACCTGTCAGGTTTTTATTGCTGTCTGTAGATTCATTCTCTCTATTTGTCCTGGTGACCGCCATCACCAAAAGTGAAAGTGAAATTCCCAATTTTTGGGTTGTCCTCAGAACAGGAATAGATGGGAAATCTTCCAATGAGGAAACACTAGTTCTGGTGACCCTGCTGACCACCGGGGATTTCCCTCACTTTGGAGGGATTTCCTTTCACTTCCTGTTCTGGCTATTGGACAGGAAGTGAAGGAAACCTCTTCAATGGGACACAGATGACAAAAAGAGTTAAGACCATCCCTTCCTCAATCCAAAACTAAAAAAAAAAACAATTTTATTTTTTTTACAAATGTGACATTGCTAGTTACTCAGTAAGAGCACAAAGCAATATTAAGAAGCCCATCCAAATTTAATACATTAACTGTGTTTGAAGTAAGTGAGACACTATTATATGTAATTTGCTATTATTAACAGCTGTATACGAAAATTTCCCAGGGGATCTCCTCTTCTCAGTGCATGGGCTCAGCAGTGCAGTAGATGAAAGTAATTTCCATAGGAGGTCTGCACACAGCCCTGAATTCTCTGATATGGGGTTGCCTTTTACCTATCTACAATGGAAATATCCAAACCTGAGCAAGGATCAAAGTGCTGTAACACATAGAAAGTAATCACTTTTTTTTTGAGGTTGTGGATTTGGGGTTCTTGGGGTTTTCATGAGCAGTAAGCCATAATCATCACAATTATGACAAATCACGGCTTGAACTATCTTGCTTTGCATGTAATGAGTCTATCTCATATATTAGTTTCACCTTTTAAGTTGCATTAGTGAAATAAATAAACTTTGCACGATATTCTAATTATTCGAGTTTCACCTGTATATACTGTATATATATTACACTATGACTGCATTAGATTTTTTTTCAGCTGTATTTTTTCTTTATTTTTAACTGGAGATACTGTGAATAATACACTTGCTGTCCCTCCATGTCTACACCTTTTTTCTCCCCTGTACCTATGGGGCGGCTATGGTTGTAATACAAGCTGGATATTATACATGTCTGCCTTTGTATCACTCTTTTACATGGTGGATTGATGAAAATACTGGTTTAAACAACAAAGGCAAGCTTTTTTCTGCTTTGTTTTAAACTCACAGGAAGCGGCAAGGATGCTGCATTATTGGAAAGATCAGCAGGTAATTTCTGTACTTGCTTAAAATGGTCTTAACTAAAAAGTAAAAACTATGGACCAGTGAGTTGCATTTTTGTTTTTGGGTTCAGATATGTGTTAAAGTTAAGCATATTTCTGTTTCTGAATTTGGATAACTAAATCTTTTTTTGCTTTATATCAATATTTGCAGGCCTTCTGCATTAGCAAGCAGCCCAACATATCCAGATCTTCCGTTCATAAGGATATCTCCACACAGGAATCCTGGAACACCAGACTCGCCATTCAGCCCTCATCACCCTTATATTAATCCATACATGGACTATATCAGATCATTACATAGTAGCCCTTCACTTTCTATGATATCAGCAGCACGTGGACTCAGCCCTACTGATGGTAAGTTATAAAAATATGTGGCAGAATGACTTTGTAATGGTAGTAGGAGAAAGTGCTCTCTATGTTTATCCCAACTGAGCCTCTTGAGGACAGTGGTTTATTTTATGCACAGAGAATGGTGCGGGAGGTCCTTCATAGAGCAGGTATTCTTTAAAGAACAATAAACAAGAGTAATTGAAGAAACAGATATTGTTTTTAGCAAAATAAGACCACATGCACACGACTGTAAACAAAAATCACATTTTTTGGAAACAAGTTTTTTGTTTACGGATCAGAATGCAGTTGTATTGTTTTTTTAATGAGTAATAAGGAAATTACATTGAAAACAGAGCAGGAAGAATGGAACCAGAATTGTATGCATTTAAACACATAGGTGTTTACGTGTCTAAATGCAAGCATTTTGTTGACCATCTACTCCAGAACTTTTTGGCCAGAAAAAACATTCTTATAGGATCAGTAAATTTCTTATGGTTGTGCCCATTTAGCCTAAAGCAGGAGTGGACAAATCAATATGGAATTTAGGATTCAGTCTGTCCAATCCAGGAGCCAGACTGATTTTTTTTTAGGCGCAAGCTCCTTTGATAACAACAGAGAAAACCTTGAAAGTTAGGTGCCAGATGCAATCTTTAAGAAGCACTGGCTACCAGTGACTTGTCCAGCTTTGAAGGTGAGAAAATTTCCACACACGTAAAAACAACTCAAATCTGTCGTGATTTCAGTTATAACTAACAAATGAGGATTTGGACTGTTCGTACTTTTATTATATAATAGAAGATTTTTCTATTCTGTTTTATTTTATTAAAAGTAATGCACAAATATTTCCTCGTTTCAACAAAGCCTATAGTAAACAGGCTTCTTCAGTGGTTTAAATAGAAAAAATGCAAATGTTTATAAAGATGTCCTGAAATATTCTTCTAGTCCTTAACCACATGCCACCCGGCGACCGTACATAAACGGCCGGACGTGCACCTTCTAGATGCGGGTGGGTGTCTTAAAACTTCCTTTGTGCATGAGCGGGAAACTGTCAAAATTTGAAACAGCTAGCGATGGCTGTTTACATACAAGCGGTCCAGCGTCTTTAGAGATGACCGATCGCTTGCATGTTGTGCATTTGTGTACCTTTGCCACCACCACTGCTGCAATACTGGGCTGCCTATGCTCCATGCAGGACCGGGGCTGTAGCTCTGTGCAGGGAGATACACGATCTCCCTCTGATCTCCCCTCCGGTGTTGTGACAGGTGAAGTGATGTTTGTTACATCCATGCCAGATCTCTGCTTCATCAGCTTCTTTGGGGGTTCCTAGGTGACATTAGGGGTCTTAGAGACTCCAGATGTCTCCATAAAGAGGACCTGTCACTGTAATTTAATATCACATATATATCACATAAAGGGCTTCTTAGTCCCCTATATGATAACAATAAAGTTAAGTGTAAAAAAAAAAAAAAGTCACAAAAAAAACCAACCCATATTTTTGTCCCACACTTATACGCGCAAACATGCATCGGGTGCGCCTACGTGCGAAAAATAATAAATGTTGGTCAAATTACTGCAGCGCTGAATACTGAAAAATGGCCTGGGCAGGAAGGGGGTGTAAACACCCTGGTCTTCTAGTGGTTAATGAGTGTCCCTTAGACATGTTTGTGAGGCTCTGAATTAATACATTTCTTAGCTTAAATGTATTGTCTACAAATAGTACATTTAAGAATGAAACCAAGCTGGATGTAAACATGAATTCATACCATACTGGGTAGCTTTCAGATTATAGCCATGTATTCATAGATTCACTGTCAGTTCAAGCACATTAGGTACGATCATCTTGGTGTAAAATGAGTCACCAGTAGAAGCAAATCTGTCCCTGTTCAGCATGTGAAAGGCATCCTCAACCATTTTCAGCTGGCTGCTCGACAGCAAAGGACATGTCTTATCTATTAGACACCTTAATAAATTATAGAAGATAAGGCAGCATGGTAGGAAATTGCTAACATTTCCTCTTCTACTTTTTCTAAACATCTTGCATTCAGTCTTCTCACAGCAAGCTCTGCTGTTGACGTGAGCCTACTATACATGGTGTATATAATTTTTTTTTCAGTTTTTTGTGTCTATACCTGTAAATAAGATCAGTAACATAAAACATAACAACCTACCACACCATTCATTTCATCCGTATTGTGTTCATTAACATATTGCAGAGAGACATGTTATTTGACAGCACCACACAGGGATGCGTGCATATGAAAAGTGACAGTTTTGTCAGTTACTTAAATATTCAAGACTAAACACCAAAGAATTGGTACACAGAAGTCATATAATTTGAGTAACATGAAAAGGCTGACATTACTGAAAGACGGCATACCTCACTGCTGGACTGTTGTCTCTTAGAAGGAGAGAGTGTGCATGTTTGCCTATTTAAAAGGGAATTTTTAGATTAGATATATGTATAAAACATCAGCTTGATGTAAATAATCTTATTCATTGTTTATGTTTTAAAAACCTTTTCTATAGTTAATTTGTTTCTAGATTTGTACATGGGGGCAGACAATTTGTTGACATTGTTTCCTGCTTTTCAATGCTATAAAATGGTTTTGTTTTACTACTTCTTCTCACAATATGGCCAGTATATGATGCTGTCCATACACTAATAGAATTTCTTTTGAAAAAAAAAAATCTTTCAATTTTCTATTTGTTATAATGGGTGAAAAATGATGATCATTTTCCACCATAGTGACAAAACATCATAGGAGCAGGATGGACATTTTTTCTCAATCATACAATATTCTGGCAGTGAATGTGGTCTTTGTCGGGCAAACTCCATTCAAAATTGAATGTTAAAATCAATCTAAATTTTGAAGAACTTTTGTCAACTCTTTGATTGCTTTATCGAATGCTGTGTGGAGATTTTTCATCTAAATGTCACTACAAAAATCTATGGCAAGACTCAAATCAAAGCAGTCCCTATGTGGCTAAATTTTAGCCAGTTGTTAATTAACAGTTGTTAATACAGCCAGTGCAACTGCAATGAGATATTGAGAGCTCTCTCAAGGGGTCAATCTAAAAAAAATTTAATACAATGATTAATACAATGATAAATATAAGAAATAACAAGGATGTAAGAGTCATATCAAAATTAACTTTAAGTTATGCGTTACTTTAATAGCTCAAATTATGCATTTGCTAAAATACACTACACGTTCTCTTTAAGATCACCAGGACAGTGCTGATTGGCATATGGACAGACATAAATACAGCAACAGACTAGCACACTTACCAACACTCTAGCTATAGTCATGCTGCACAGGGATTATATCACTTGGGGTACTGAAATTTGATGTGGAAATTCTGTTTTTTAACAGCAGAATGGCTGCTGTACAAGCTAGTAACAATAGCCTGTACAGCATCCGAAGACAGCCGAACAGCTCAGCTGAGCCTTACGCATATGCTTTGAAGCAGACCATTCTCCCTGCAAATGTCTGGTAGGAAAGTTAGGAGGGACCCTTCCGAGTTAAAAAGAAAAAGTGCACGGGGTTCCCACAAAAGTCATACAGGCCCTTTAGGTCTGGTAGGAATTTTAAGGGGGAACTCCACACCCAAAAATGGGGAAAAATGTGAGACCCCCCTCACCCCCCCAACCAAAAAAATTCTCAGCCAGAGCCTTAATCAAAGCACAGGCCTGGGAGGGCAGGGTCCCCCCTGGAAAATCACCTTGTCCCCATGCCGAAGGGGACAAGAGCCTCTTCCCCACAAGCCCTGAACCGTTGGTTGTGGGGGTCTGTGGCAGGGGGACTTATTTGCATCAGGGTACCCCCTGTAATAAAGGGGGCACCCAGATGCTGCCCCTCCTTGTGAATGAATAAGGGGTATGTGTACCCCTACTTATTCACTAAATGGTTAAAAGTAAATAAACAGACCAGTGGTTAAGAAAAAATCCTTTAATTGATCAAATAAAAACAAACATTTTTAATAAAAAAAATAAAACACCAAAAATTAAAAACAATTAATCCACCGCCATAACACAAAGGTCTTAACACTTTAGTGAGTAGAGGTACATAGTACCCCTTTCTCATTCACAAGGGGGGCAGCATTTGGGTGCTCCTTTTATTAAAGGGGGTACCCCACTGCAAATAAGCCCCCCTGCCCATAGACCCCCACAACCAACGCGTCAGGGTCTGTGGGGAAGAGGCACTTGCCCCCATTGGCACGGGGACAAGGTGCTTTTCTAGGGGAGACCCTGGAAAAGCACACTCCCAATGCCGAGGGCATGTGGCCTGTTATGGTGCAGGGAGGGGGCGCTCGCTCATCCCCCTTTTCCTGCCCTGTCAGGCATGTGCTTGGATTAAGGGGCTGGTTGGGAATTTTAGGGGGACCCTACTTTTCCCCCCATTTTTTGGGGGTGGAGTTTCACCGTAAAATTCCTATAGGGCCTGGTATGACTTTTGGGGGGAACCCCACACACTTTTTTTTTTACTTTTTAACTTGGGGTCCCTCCTAACTTTCCTACCAGACCTAAAAAGTCTAGTATGGATCGCGAGGGGGACGCCATTTATTTTTTCTTTTGTTTAACATTTTTTATTCTGCCCGTGTTCTTCACTTCGGTTCAGCCGAACATGTTGAGTATGTTTGGCTAAACCGAAGGGAGCTGAAGCCAGCCGATGTACGGCTGTTTTCAGCCAATGTACGGCTAAAGTCAGCCATACAAGGCTGAAGGGTATAGCCGAACGGCGTTCGTCTCACTTTACTTCGGCTCGGCTTTTCACTCGGTTGCCTACGGCAGCTTAGCGCATAGCCCCCTTACTTTAACGAAATGTTAGTGTTAAAGTGAATGGATAGTTGAGGTCTTGAAAACGGTGGTACTAGCAAATACTGCTTAAGCACACCACTTTGTGTTATCCTCTCCCGTTCCTCATAACAGTAATTGTCTATCAGACAGGGCTGGATTTTGCCTCTTGTGAGCCTGAAGCAATGCTTCCCACTGTAAGCAGTTCTCCCCTGTTTTCTCCTCACTGCTTCTCTTAAATCACATTACAACCTCTTAAGCACCTCAGCAAAATTATAGGAACCACCACATTTTAACAAACCCTCTGCTGTTTTAGTAGCCCACTACAGTTTTAATGCCTTGAGATGCCATTCCAAATGGATGGCAATGCACTGCATTGCACGCATTATCGCAACACATTTGTGTGGATAGGCCCTAGAGATCAGCACAGCTAGCGTCAGTCACGTGATCCTCAATGCAAAGCTGCTATGCAAACAGAATATCTATGATTGTGGACTTCAACAGCCATTTTGGTAAAGCTCATGTTACGATTAGGCAAAGTTATTTCCGTAGGGAACCAGTGGCTGTGAATTGCACCATCCTGCATTGATGCTGTGCAACTAGGTGGAAACCAGTAGAGGCACAATTCGGACAGAAAACATCTGTGAAGGCAAGTTCCAGTGGACAATATAGGAAACTTGCTTTCCAGTAAGAACAAGGCAGACAGATCATCTGGTGAGACTGCATGAGCTTGTGACAAATCCCCATGTAGGCCAAAAGCAGTTTTTTTTTGTGTGTGTGTTTTAAATATATTTCTCTTTTCTGAGCCTCATAGACACTTGGTCTATAGAAAGTCTAACCCTACTGGCTGGGGGTATGCTTGATGCTAAATGCATACGTTTGCAAACCATTGGACTAGGTGACTGTTTTCCCATGTCTATTTGTAGCATAAAGCTTTAAAAAGTTGTTTTACATCTTTAAAGCTCAGAGAGCATGACTTTGGAGGGGAGAAAATACTCCTACTGTAAGTGCAGACATGGCAGAATGCCATTCATTTTAGTCAAACCTGTAACGAGAAAAATACAGTAGCTTAATTGCCGACTTCCTGATTGCCTTGCTGATATGCTGACACTGTCTTTAATACTCTCTAAATCACTGACCAGCAGTGTGACAATCAGGGGAGTCAAAGAAAACCTGAGCCAGTGAAACAAAATATTCAAGTAAGTGGGTCAGTATTACAGCCAAGCAACAAGAATTTTCTGGAGTATTGGCCAGCATGGCAGCTTTCATGTTTTACTCATGTTAAGTTTAATTTAATAATGTATTGTTACAGTAGAGGATCCAGTTTGTGGCGTTTGATGAGTGTATTTATATATGTCCACAGTGTATCATTTTATTGATGTCCTATTTAAGTACATTTTGTCAGTTGACTAACATTTTCTTACTTCAGGTGATGTAGCAGAAGAAATATAATCACTTCAGCTGGTATAGCAGAAGGGAGGTATACATTCTGAGTATTGAGCATATTGCATCAATCATAGGATGCAAGGGTATTATATACTTTCATACCTCATTTGACTTTTAATTCATAAGCAGCTACATATGTTTAATTTGATAGAACAGTGAAGATTGTACCCATGGTCAGGATTTATAATACAGTCATGTTCTTCTTTGTACCTTTCAGTTCCACATGCTGGCGTCAGTCCCGCGGAATATTACCAACATATGGCGCTACTCGCAGGACAACGAAGTCCGTATGCTGACATTATTGCTTCACCAACAACTCCAGGGGCTGGAGCCGCTGCTCTTCATATGGAGTATCTCCATGCTATGGAAAGTAAGTAACTCTTCTTGGCTGAAAGTGAAGTGCAGCTGAATCAAGGTTATTCCTTTATCTGTGTTTTGTTTATTAGCCTATAACATACATCTTCCTCATATACAAAAATACTGTGCTATGGTCAAATGATGATGATGATGATTTACAAGAAATTTTCTAGGCAAATAAACTTGGGATTTTCAGGTTAAGTTTAAATTTGCCTTACATTTGAAAGTTGCATTTTAAGTGAATTACAAGTTTTGTGGCCTGGAGCATTTTAGCAGATTGCCCCAGGAGAGGCCAATCAAGGAGAGCAAGTCAGCTCTTGGGCCTCTGGGCCACTCTTATCCAGGCCACTTGCACACCATGGGGTCTATTCACGAAGCTGCCGAGGGCAGCCGAGTGAATGACCGATCTGAAGTGAAGTGAGCCGAACACTGTTCGGCTATTCACTTCAGGCTGGTACGGCTAATTTCAGCCGTACATCGGCTTGCTTCGTGTGGCTTTGGGTCGGCCGAACATGCTCAGCATGTTCGGCTGACCCGAAGTGCAGAAGGAGTTCGACTCAGCCGATCCAACATCTGGATCGGCTGAGCCGAACCTCCGGCAGGCTTCTCACTGCTGTTCGGGCTATTCTTAAAGATCCTGAACAGCAGTGAGTGAATAGCCGAATGCCGCCGAGCGGCATTCGGCTCGGCTGTTCTGCTCGGTCCCTCAGAGGGACCGAGCAGAACAGAAAAAGAGTGAAAAATTTTAAAAAAGTAAATAGCAAACGATTGTGCGGAGCTAGCAGTGACAGCTAGCTCCGCCCAATAGTTTCCTATTGTCCGGCGGCTCTGCTGCTGTCAAAAAAAAAAAGAAAAAAAATATTAAACTAGCATTGTACCCGCCCCCTGCTGATGGACCTGATGGAGAACTGCAGCAGAGGGCGGGTACAATGCTAGTTTACTATTGGCTATTGCAAATTGAAATAGCCAAT